TGTTCAGAAATGCTTGCATGCTTCTAAAGTCAATGATACACTTTTGTGGCATAAGAGATATGGCCATTTTAATGTCAAAGCATTGAAATACATGCAAACTAATGAATTGATCAGAGACTTTCCAGAAGTGCATGTAATTAATGAAGTGTGTCAATGCTGCCAACTTGGAAAAATGCATCGGCTATCATTTCCTATCAACAAGGCATTTAGAACTTGTGAAAAGCTAGAGCTTGTGAAAAGCTAGAATGACATGGGTTTACTTTTTAAGTAGCAAAGCTCAAGTGTTCTCAGTGTTCAAGAAGTTCAAGGCCGTGGTTGAAAACCAAAGTGGATGTAGAATTAAAAAGCTTAGATCAGACAATGGTAAAGAATATACCTCTGCTGAGTTCAATAATTTTTATGAAGAGGCAGGCATCCAACACCAACTTACAGTCAGCTATACTCCACAACAGAATGGAGTTTCTAAGAGAAAGAACAGGACAGTTATGGAAATGGCCAGGTGCATGATGTTAGAGAAGAAGCTACCTCAATCTTTTTGGGCTGAAGCTATGTATACAGCAGTATATCTACTAAATGGTTTCCACTAAAGCTGTCAAGAATAAAACACCAATTGAAGCTTGGTACGGCATGAAGCCTTCTGCAAATCATTTAAAAATTTTTGGTTCAGTATGTTATACTCATATTCCTGACATTAAAAGAGGAAAATTGGACTAGAAAGCAAATGTGGGAATTTTTGTGGGATATTCCACTCAGTCAAAAGGCTATAGAATTTATGACATTCAGACCAAGAAAGTCAATGTTTGTAGAGATGTGACTTTTGACGAAGGAGGTTTCTGGAATTGGGAAGCAAAAAAAGTTGAAAAAACAGATGATGTGCAAAAAAATTCTGAAAGTTTAGCAAGCTCCAGCATGCCTTCAAATACAGAGATTGCTGAAGTTGATGATGACTCTCCAATTTTGAAGACAAAGTCCTTGTCTGAAGTGTATGAGAGTTGTAATTTGGCTATTTCAGAACCATCAAGTTATGAAAAACAAGATGTTTGGTTGCAAGCTATGCAAGAGGAGATAGCTATGATAGAGAAGAACAAAACCTGATATCTCACAAAAAAACCTCAAGACAAAAATGTTATTGGGGTAAAATGGGTTTATAGAACAAAATTGAATCCCAATGGGTCAGTTCATAAATACAAGGCCAGGTTGGTGGTCAAAGGTTATGCTTAAGGGCCCGGAGTTGATTATGGTGAGACTTTTGCACCAGTAGCTAGGCATGATACAATTAAACTCCTTGTTGCTTTAGCTGCAAATTTGGGCTGGAAACTCTATCATATGGATGTTAAATCAGCCTTCTTGAATGGAATCCTAGAGGAAGAAATTTATGTTGAACAACCTCAAGGTTTTGAAGTTGCTAGAAAAGAGGACTATGTGTACAGGCTTAACAAAGCCTTGTACGGTCTGAAACAGGCACCAAGGGCCTGGTACAGCAGAATTGATGATTATCTTCTACAACAGGATTTCAGGAGGAGCGAAAATGAGGCTACTTTATATGTCAAGGGCACAAATTCTGATTCTCAACTAATAGTGTCTTTATATGTTGATGATTTGCTGTTAACAGATGGTAATGAGCACCTCTTGAACAATTTTAAGGCTGAAATGATGAAGGAGTTTGAAATGTCAGACTTGGGTGAGATGAAATACTTCCTTGGAATGGAAATTCAGCAGTGCAAAAATGGCATCTTTCTGTCACAAAGAAAGTATGCACTTGACATATTGAAGAAATTTGGAATGGAAGACTGCAAGCCAGTGGCAACTCCCTTGGTTCTCAATGAAAAATATGTGATTGATGATGGAAAAGAGAAGGCAAATTCTTCTCAGTACAAGAGCTTAATTGGCAGTCTACTATATTTAACAGCTTCAAGGCCAGATTTAATGTATTCAGTGAGTCTTCTTTCTAGATTCATGTCCTCACCCAGTCATACTCATTTTTTAGCAGCTAAACGAGTTCTCAGGTACCTAAAAGGAACTTTTGATTATGGTATCTGGTATGAAATGGGTTGCAAAGGAAAACTTGAAGGTTATGTTGATAGTGATTGGGCTGGTTGTGAAGATGATATGAAGAGCACAACTGGTTATGTCTTTTCTTTTGGTTTCGGAGCATTTACTTGGATGTCAAAGAAGCAAGATGTGGTAGCACAATCCACCGCTGAAGCAGAATATGTTGCAGCATCTGCAGCTGCAAATCAAGTTGTATGGTTGAGGAAAATGCTGGTTGATTTGGGTTTTAATCAAGACAAAGCATGTGTTTTGAAGATTGATAATATGTCAGCAATTTCAATAGCTCAAAATGCAATTCAACATGGAAGAACAAAGCACATCAAGGTGAAATATCATGTCATCAGAAATTTCATCAAGGAAAAGGAAATCAGTTTGCAGCACTGTGATTCAGAAGAGCAGAATGTTGATATCCTGACCAAATCCCTTCCTAAGCCAAGATTTGAGAAGCTGAGAGAAAAGCTCGGAGTTACAAAGCCAAACACCAAGTAGGAGTGTTAGAAGTGCTGTTTGCATTGTACCTCTCCTCAATTAATGTAGTTGGTGTGTTTAATAGTTAGTTGGGAGGTTGAGATGTCATACGTAGACTACAAAATCC